AGAGAATAACAAGAAAATCCCTCCTTTACAGATCCATTCCTCTGCTCCTCTTCACAGCCAAACTCCTCAAAGTGTTGTCTGTACCCCTTCTTCCCATCTCCCCTCCTCCAATTCTCTCCTGAACTTGCCCCAACAAAATCTGCACCCCTTTCCCAACTCTCCATTAAAACTGCTGTGTCAGGATCACCAAGGAGAAATGTGTTTTCTTGTGCCCTTCTCTTCTCTAAGTGCATCAGCCCCGTTTTCCTCATCTGCTTTAATCACTTACAAGGCTCTACGCCCTCACATCTCCAGCCTGAACCCCTCTCCTGATCACTAGACATTCGTATCCAGCTCTCTCGCTGATGTCCCCAATTGCATGTCAAGCAGCTTCTCAGAATGAACATCCCCCTTCCAAACCCTTCTCTCCGACGTCCTCCATGGAACACAACTCCATCCTTCCAGTTGCTCAGGGGAAACATTAGGGCATCATCCATGCTCCTCTATCTCCCTCACTCCCCACATCCCCTAGAAAACCCTGTTAGTTCCATCTTCATAATACATCTAAACACAAACCCTCACTCTCCACCCCACCTCCCTGGTTCAAGTCGCCATCACCTCCTGCCTGGAGAATTCAGCAGTCCCTTCCCAATCTCTGTGTTGCTGCTGTGGACACACTCTGGCCTTTTCTGAACAGAGCAGCCACGGGGATCCTGTGAAAATGAAAGTTCAATCATGTCCTCCAAGACGTCCAGATTCTCGCGTCTCCTGCAAGACCTGACAAGCTCTGCACCAGCACAGGGTCTGCACCATCCTCCCAGCTCCTCCCCTCCCTGTGCCTCCCTCTGCTGTCAGACTTCTTCCTCCTGTTTCCCCAACACACCAGGCGTGCTTCTGCCCCAGACTACTCCACTCGCTGTCCTCTCTCTTCCCTTTTCCTGGATAATTTTCTCTCAGGCAAACGCAGAAACTGCTGTCTTATCATCTTAATTCTTTGCTCCAACATCACCCCTCACACTCTCACATGTAGATAATTGTCCGCAATATTTCATGTCCTCCTTTCCCTGCATGATTTTTCTCCAAACACACATTAGCATCCAACATACTCTAATGTTATTTCTTATTTATTTCTTTTGATTTCTGTCCTTCTTGTCTCCAGAATGACAGTTTCTTGATGACAGAGATTTTGGGCGCTGTGTTCACCGATGCACCCTCAGCACCTACAACAATGCTGGTACATAGTAGGTCTTCAGTAATACTTGCTCAGGAGTCTATAAATAAATGACTGAATGTCACTCTCCTCAGAACCAAGGAATGATACACACACTCACACACACACACATACGGGGTGGCTTTTAAGACTGAGCCTGAGGGATGAGCAGGACTTGGAGAGGAAGGAATGGGGAGGGAAGGGCATTTCAGGAGAAGGAACTGCTCATGCAAAGTCTCAGAGTCACAGAGGCCTTGGCCAAGCTGGGGGTGGAGACACTGCCAGACGCATGGAGAAGGAGGGATCCAGGTGAGAGTCCACCAGGAAAAAGATCACATCAGGCCTTCAAATCCAGCCTGTGGTGTTTGCAGCTCAGTCTCTGGCCATGGAGAGGACACATAGCTGTCCACACTGTGCAGGACATGGACAATGATGGTCTCTGGAAACACATTCTGGAGACCTGTGTTAAGGTGAGAGATGGAGGCAGAGATGGATGGGGTGGCTTCAGAGATGCAGGGCAGAGTTGATGACTCAGGAACAACCAGGTCAGGATGAGGAGGGGACAGACAGCAAGATGAGTTGTGTAGGAGGAAGGATAGACAGGATTTATGGATGAATAGATCAGGGAGAAGGGAGGGAGGTAAAGAGGAGAACCATATCCTGGTCCTGGCCTTAGAGATGGGGCCACAGTGTCATCAGCGTGTGAGACAATCCAGCAGAAAAGTGGGTTTGGGGAGGAAGATGGCAGCTGAACTTTGGCATGCTGACCAGAGCAATCCTGGGCGCCATCCTGGAGGAGACGTGTGGTTGATGTTGGGTAGTGAGACGTCTGGTTCACTCACGTGAGGGATTAACTTGGGATGGTGTTTGCATCCTCCATGCCCCCTGTGGGCCTTGCCACCTTCCTCCTGCAGGACCTCATTCTGACAGAAGAGAAGAAGGTCTTTCAGTCTGGTTGCGTCATGGTCCAGGGGGCTCACCCCTTCTTCCCTGTTCAGGGGCTGGAGGGGTGACTGAGGTGGGAGAGGGTAGGTCTGCCTCCACAGACCCACTTTGAGCACACAGGTACCTGCAATCCTGGACACTAGGTAGGCATGCAGGATGGCTGCCAGTGTAGATCCTTCCCCCTCCCCTGCCCCCATCTGCCTCCTACCTGCCCAAATCCCTGATTCCTTCAGGACCCTCCATCACTGCTTCTGGGACTCAGCCACGTGCCTCCTGCCCTCCCCACGCCTCCCCTTCCTCCTGGGACAATGCTCACCTGAGGAAGATGAGGCAGAGGAGGAGGAGCAGGGTCTTCACAGCCACTTCCCCAATGGCCCCCAGAGCCACCTCTGCCACGGGCCCTGATCTCCCTGCAGGAAAGTGGGATGAGGACAGATTCACCTGCTCCACAGCAATCCTAGTCCTTCCAATCCCAACAGGACTCTGGACATTGGGTCTCCAGGCCCTCCTGCATCACTGGAGGCAGGACCGCCTGTGCCTGGGCCTCACCCCACTCCATGTCCTGAGTGTCCAACAGTTGGAGAGACAATAATTGCATAAGTTGGACTTCATCAAAATGACAAAGTTTCTTTGTCAACTGACACTATCACAAAAGTGAGAAGCTAATACATTTAGTGGGAGAAAATATTTGCAAATCATAGGTGTTATAAGAGAGACATACCCAGTGTATGTAAAGAACTTTTACAACTCAAAAACAACAAGTGAAACAACCCAATAAAATAATAAGTAAAGGACTTGATAAATAATTCTCCAAAGAAGATATACAAATGGCTGGTAAGTCCATGAAAAAATTAGCATCATTAGTCATTACATAAATGCGAATCAAAACCATGATGAAATACCCCTTCACACCCACTTGTTAGTGCTGTGGAGTCTATTCTGACTCCTAGAGATCCTGTGTGCAGCAGAGTGGAACCCTGCCTAGTCTTTTTGCATCATCTTCTCATCTTCTGCACTATATCAGTCAATGCTCCACTGCTATTCAAAAGGTTTTCATGGCCAAGTTTTTCAGAAATGAGTGGCCAGGTTCTTCTTCCTAGTCTGTCTAAGACAGGAAGCTCCACTGAAACCTGTCGACCACGAGTGACCCTGCTGGTATTTGAAAGACTGGGTGCACAGATTTCAGTATCACAATAACAGGCGGCTGCCACACTATGACAACCACAGATGGGTGATGTGGTTCCCTGATCAGGAAACTAATCCAGGCCATGGCCATGAGAGCACAGATGTCAACTACTAGACCACCAGGGCCAGCTCTTGACATTCACTAGTGGGCTATATTTAGGAAAAAAAAAAAAAAGAAAGGAAAGAATGTTGGCAAGAATGTGGATAAATTTGGACCCTCGTACATTGCTGCAGGGAATGTTTTCGGAGCTTCCACTGTAGAAAACAGTCTGTCATTTCCTCAAAAATGTAGACATATAAACTACTATTCAACCCAGCAATTCCACTCCTAGGTAGGTATATGCCCCCCAAAACTGAAAACATATGTTTGAACAAAAGTGTGTACACTAATGTTCATAGCAGCATTATTTCAATAGCCAAAATGTGGAAACAACCCAAATGTCCTTCAACTGACCAACAGAGAAACAAAATGTAGTACATCCATACAATGGAATATTATTCAGACAAAAAAGAAAGAATTAGCGATACATGCTACATGGATAAACCTTGAAAGTATTTTGTTACTTGAAAGAAGCCAGACACAAAAGGCCACATTTTGTACAATTCCACTTATATGAACTGTCCAGAATAGGAAAATGAATATAGACAGAAAGCAGAGTAGTGGTTGCAGGTGCTGGGGGAGGAGAGCATAGAGAGTGACTGCTTCATGGGCAAAGGTTTTCTCTTTGGGGGGATGAAAATGTTGGATGGATGGAATTAGATAGTGGTGATGGTTGGGCAAGACTGTGAATGTACTAAAAGCCAACTATTGTACACTTGAAAATGGTTCAAATGTTGATTTTATTTTATGTGAATTTTTTCTCAATAATAAAACAATGCATACAGATTTTTCAAAACCTATATGGGGATACCAATTTTCACCTGCTACTGTCAAAAAGCAAACGTTTCACCCCATACTAGTTTGTGGAAAACACACAATTTCAGCCCTCGATGCTGGGAATGTAAACTTCTCCACTTTCGATGGAGAACAAGTAGGTCCTATGTCTCAATATAGAAATAACATATAATCCAGCTATTGTGCTTTTAGGAACTTATCCCACAGTCAGAAATATACACGTGTGTGAAAAGAGATACAAGATTACCGATTGCAGCATTTCTGTTGGTAGAATAAACTTAATGCCATGATTTTTCCACTAGTAGAAGATGTGTACAGAATCAGAATACATCTAGGCCATGGAATACGCCACAATCACAAAGCAGAATGGGGACAGTCTGTACTACTGAAATCAAATGGCCCCTAAGATCCTTTGGGAGAACAAATCGAGGCTCAGAGCAGCCTATGGACATGGGTCACTTCCCAGGAGGGCATTGGGCATTTGAAGACAGACTCTGCTGTGTCTTTTGAATTTTTGACCATATGAATATCTTACCATCCAAAAATATGTAAATTACAAAGTATTAGGGAAAAATAAAAAGAAAGTTGGAGGAGTCATCAGAAGATGGATGTTAATTGGCCCTGAGAGGAGGGCCCTGCTGTGAACGTTGTTCTGTTCTCCTTGTGGAGCTGAGGAGGGTGAAGAAGTCTGAGGGGAGTGAGGGGCTTATGGGGACAGCTGCTCACAGAGGCCATGGAAGCTGGGGGTGAGAGGAACCACAGGGTTCACCCACAATGTGATCTCTGGTCATTGGAGTGAGTCCATGGTGAGGCAGGGATCCAGCCCTGCCCTGAGCTGGAAGAGGCCCTGCTCCCTACAGCCTGGGAGGGGTTCCTTCCTACCTGTGCCGTACCCGAGACAGACACCAATAGCTGGGTTCTCTGGAACACCTAGGATGAGAAGATGGGATTCTACTTCAGTAGGAACATGGGGTTGGATAAGTGTAGGTAAGCCCCCACCCCCAAAAGCCACAGAAATACAGGAGGGCCAGGGCTTATGTCCATCTATGTCCCCTACTCAGTCAGGTCCCCAGGACAAAAGAATCAAGCACCCCCAGCTTGGCCCTCCTGCTCCCCACCTCCCCCCTCAGGGACACGGGTGACCTGGCCCAGCGCTCACAGGTGATGTTGAGCTGGATGCTGCTTTCCATGATCACACCAGATGCAGGGAACTTCACTTGACAAATGAGGTTGGCGCCGTGGTCCTGGGGCCGTGGGGTGAGGGTGAGCACTGAGGACAGGTGGGTCCTGGGGCCCAGGGAGGTGAGGGCAGCTGTCCTCCAGGAGAAGATGGGTGGCGTGCCCCGCTCATAGGCCCAGGGCACAGAGCAGGTCAGGTTTCTGGGGCAGCTGGCCTCCAGGGTCCCTGGGATGAGGATGTCGGGTTTGTGGGTCAGGGCTTGTGAAGAGAGAGGGAGACATGGAGATCAGGAGGGAAAGTCTGAGGTACAGGCTCAGAGAAACATTAGACTTTGGTCCAGATCCTCCATCTAAACTCTGACACGCTGTACCCCCAACTCTTCCCAGGAGGAGGGTTTTATCCCAGTCCTTCCCTCCGGCCCCCATGTCCTTCCCCTCTGGCCTCTCTGGGAGCCCACTCCTTACTCATCACACTCACGGTGAGATGGTTAGATATGTAATTCCATTTTGCACTTCCTCTCTCCACCTTAAAAAAGTATTTTCCATCATCTATCCTCCTGGTGTCTCTGGTGTCCAGGGAGCAGTTGTAGGTCCAGGGGTCCCCAAGGAGGTGGAATCGGCCCTGGGTCTCCTCCTGCACTTTTCGATCTGGGTTGTTAGTGGTCACTGGAGCATCCTGGTGTGCACTGGCCCCTTCCTGGAACCAGTAGCCGTGAGCTGAGGTAGAATCAGTCCAGCCATCCCGGGGGTAGAAGACAGTGCACGGCACCCGCACACACAGGCCCTCCTGCACCCTCACCAGCTCCGGCACTTGCAGCTGGTAACCCTTGTTGTTTTCCCAGGGCTCCCTCTGGCCCTCAGCCCCCTCCCTCCACCAGAGCACGCCCAGCAGCAGCCACAGCAGAAGCATGTCTGGGGTTGGCGGTCCCAGGTTCCGCCAGGGAAAGTCTGTTTCTCAGGGTTCTCTCTCAGGAACTAAAAACTGAAATATTTAGAGGAGGCTCCAACAGGAAGATGAGAGTGAAGGCAGAACAGTGACCCTCCTCAGAGGAGGAACTTCACCTCCAGACACTGTTGGACATGGGACAGCCCATGGAATGAACCATCCATCACTGCATGTCCACTGCTGGGGACGCTGAACCAGGGAGGGTGAGAGTCTTGGTATGTTCATACCCCATGAAGTGTCCGAGCCCCATCTCCCACCTCCATGTCGATGCCCTTCCTCTCAGAGGGTCATTTTCTGCAAAGTGAAATAGGTTCCTTATGGTCAGCTTTCCTGACTCATAGACTGTAGATGTCTGTGGAGGTCGGTCCAGCCAGGGGTGGGACTCGGGGACACAGGAGATGATGGAGACTGACTGTCCTCCCTGTCTCAGCATCTATGTGGTGAGCATCACCTCTCTGCTCACAAAGTCACACACCAGCTCCGGTCGACGGCCTGAGAGTCACTGTCCAGTGGAGTGACAATAGCTGCCTCGGCACCTGGAGCTCCCTGAGACGGGAAGACATGGAGACACGTGAAGGAGACACAGAGCGAGGAATGTCAGCCTGAGGGTCGTTCACCCTCAGGGACGGTGAGGATTTCCTGAGAGAAGAGACGTGCACCTGAATTCACTGAGGGTTCTTTTTAACTGTGTGGCGGGGGCTGGGAGGAAGGAGTGGGAATCCTGGGAGGTGCTGCCTCCTCAGACCCGTGTTGATTTTCTTGAAACATGTTTTGGGGGAAACATAAGACACATACAGAGGTGTCCCCACAATAACAGCTCAATGATTCCTCACAAAATGAACACCCTCCAAGTAATAGAATGTCGGGGAGCACCCAGGAGCTCCCTCTGAGTCCCCCTCCCTATCCCCACACCTCACTCCCCTCAAGGACCCCCAGCCTCACCGTAATAACAGTTTATTCCTGGCTTTTCTCTCTAGTTTTATCATCTGAGCTGCCTTTAATACTATGGCTTTGCACATGCTTTTCTTAAGACTTTGTATACATAGAAAAATATACTATCTGTTCTCTTCTATTCAACTTCATGATTCTGCCCATCCCATATTATTTCCTTCCCAGAACTATCACCAAAAACCCAGAGTAGAGTCAGTGCCGTGATCATGGGGAAGGAAGGTGCAGGGTAGGACATGCATAGACACTCCCACACCATCGCCATTTCCTGCATTTTCAGCTAGAATCTCAGCCTGCATCCCCATCCCCCTGCTGGGCTCCCCTGGCCACTCACTCTCTCCCTGCAGGGGCCGTAGCAGCATCTGTGGTCAGAAGGGTTTGTCTATGCCCAGCCTGTTTGTCACAGTCCCAGTTTGCCATGAAAAACAGAAGAATAGGAAGGAAAGATGGGGGAAGCCATAGAGAACATAGCTGTGTGCAAAAGAAGAACTATGATCAATAGACCATCAGAGCTGGGGGGCCTTCTAACACCACTTCTCCAATTTGAAGAAGAAGACACTGAGGTCAAGAGTGGTCAAGTGAATTGGCCAAAGCACATAGGTGCCCTGTCTTATGCACTATTATCTGAACCGAGACCCACTTCTTCAATGGTTTTCTGCTCAGGTTTCACTGGCTGGGAGATGGAAGCTTATGTTAATCTGAGAGGGAAGAATGCTCAACTGTTCCCATGAGGTGAGGGAGGACATTTCATTCATTTAGTCATTCATTCATTCATTCATTCAACAACCATGTACACTGTGCCTTCAGGTTTCCAGGAAAGGGGTGAATATGACAGATCCAACCCTTGCCTTTGAGGAGAAGAACATCCAGTTGGGAGATAGATAGGTTACCTGACAATTAAAGTGCCTTAGTGTAGGTGGCTATGATGGGGAACAACAGGCTGGGGAGGGAAGTGCTCTTGCTCCTCTGGACTGGAAGGTGAGTCTCAGGGAGGAATGGACCAAGTAGACATGGTAGGGACTCTCAGGTAGTCACAAAGGATGTGAATTCCACAGGTGATCCTGGTATCCTGGGAATTCCTGGACTCTCAAGTATCATGTTCTCAATCCCACTCACCCCCCCACTGTGCTGGAGATCATCCGCCAGCTACCAAGTTCTGTGCTCTGACTGTGACCAGCCCCATCTTTGCCCCAGCTATGGTCAGACCATTGCACACAGAGGGTGCCCCATCAGTCCAGCACTACCTGGTTCTTGAGGATCCCCAGGAAAGGGCGATTGCGCTGTCCGTGGTGCTGATTCAGAGCTGACTACTGACTCTGGAGATGTCTGCAGCTCTGTGGAAGGGCCTGATCACACAGCACAGGAGGGTCTGGAGTCAGGAGGGTCAAGATGTCAGATGTTCTGGAGAGGGCTCAGGTCTACCTGAGAGGAGGGACTCAGGGGAAGAAAAGACCTACATTTCTCCACCGTGTCCTTCTGTCCACCCTCAGGAATGTCCTATGGACAATGCAAGGCTGTTGTCACCGTTCCAGGGCAGGAAGGTGAAGGCTCTGTGCTGCCCCTTTATATAACTGTTCCCATTTCATTTTCGCAACATCCCTGACAGAGAGGGGTAATGCCCTCATCAGATAGAGGTGAGTAGCTGTAGGAACTAGTTTCCAAAGACAATCCCAAACAATCCTGCCCCTCCTTTATACAAACATGGCCCTCCTCTCATTATAAGATGGAGTTTATTATTATTATCTCCTCCTCTTGAACCTATATTAGCCATATGACTCCTTTGAAGCATAGACTGTTGGGGACAAGATGTTCTGAGGCTTATACAGCTCAGATATTAAGAAGGCCTGGCAGCTTCCACTCCTACTTTGTGGATCCCTGGGCTTCTGAGTAAGTAATCCAGGTGACTCTGAGGGAGAGAGATGCTACATAGAGGATCCATAAGAGTTCAGGATGTCCAGTCCCAGTCACCACCACCAGCCCAACACACCTGCCTGAAAGAGCCCAAAGCAAAAGTAGGGGTGAAGCTGCCCAACTTTTCCCCCTATGTTTCTGCTTCCAGAGAAGAGATCACTCTTCAGAGTCGGGAAATGTTCAGTGCCAAACTATAGACTTCTAATTATGTCCACCTGAGCCCATGTAGAATTGTATGCTGTGATGTTTTATTCATTTCCTGGTTTGGATTTTGGTGGTGAAATTTTAGTTCCTTTTACTGCAATATCCTGGGCTCATTTAACACATGCTGGGATTTGGCACTCATGGCATCAGGCTAAGCTGCAAGAAGGAACTTGCATTTTCAAGGAATAAGGAATCAACACACAATGAACACACACTTCATACCAGGACCTGTACACAGTGCTTTATGCGTGTCTCAACATCGTTGTGAGATGGGGCTTCTTATTTTTTCACTTTACAGAGCAGGAAACTAAGGCACAGAGAGGTAGAGTGGCATACTTTCCAATTGTCACCCCTTAGTAACTGAAGAAACCAAGATTGACTTCAAGTTTCTCCTATTTTATTTTTTATTATTATTATTTTATTTTCCTTTTAATTTTTTGTTTATTGCAGTAACATTGGTTTATAACATTGTATAAATTTCAGGTATATATCATTATACTTCTATTTCTGCATAGATTACATCATGTTCACCACCCAAATACTAATTACAACCCATCACCACACACATGTACCAAATTATCCCTT